ATATTGTTATCTTGAGTCCAAATCAGTCCAACTATTTGGTGGAGATGTGTCAAAGGGACTTAAAGGTATCGACAAGTCTTACAAACTCACCAACCAGGTGGTAATGCCGCGACAACATTGGCCGGCACAAGGACGCCCTTTTCGAGGTTAGCTCAGATTAATCCAATCTTCCAGACAGAGCTACCGTGGTCACAACGCACAAGACTTTTTATGGCGCAACGCCAATGGAACACTAAAAGAAAAGGCGATGTGGGAGGAACGATAAGGTCCAGACTTTGATGAGTCTGCGACAAGTGCTCATGTTGATGCACAGTTATTTGAATCAACCGTCTCTGTTGTTGAGGGGTAAGGCTTTACAGCAGATATACTGAAAGAGTTTTACAGAAAGTGGACAACAATGCGTATGGTCCACAACTACTGAAAATGAGATACCACAACAAAATCAAATCTCAAATCAATAGCCAGCCTCCATTGTGGGATAAAAATTGAGTGAGTGGTTTTAGGCCTCTTTTAGCAATAATCCTGCAGTTTCACGTTTGGGGACATCATTAATGGGGTTCACACATTGTACTCATGTGGGGAATTGATTCCGGGTCTTCGGCATAATAAGCAAACGCTTCAACTACTAGGATACCCCAGTGGCCCTGATGGGAAAAACAGGAAAGGTATCAAGAGTAGATAGATATTACGGAATGAACTTTGGAGATGTTAGAAAGTCAGGAAATCAGTTTAAAGGACCTGTGCAGACAGTGTGTACAATGAGAGGGTATGTGAGATGTATTTTTATTGTATTACCCCTACTGCTTTTGTTGACATCATGTCTCTTAATGATTAGATTCTTATAAAAGGCACCTGGCCCAGGCTTTTCAAGAGATCAAGAGACCATATCATGCCAATATTACACCAACATATATTTTTGAATAAATAATAATATTATAGTATTATATGTTCTTTGTTTTAAGGGGCGGTCGGGTAGCCTAGTGGTTAACCCGTTAGCTCGCCACGCCGAAGACCCGGGTTCCATTTGCCACATGGATACAATGTGTGAAGCCCTGGTATCCCCAGTCTTAATATTGCTGGAATAGTGCTAGATCGGCGTAAAACAATACACCCTCACTCACACTTTGGTATAATCAGGTGATAAGCATAATTCTTATAATGCTTTGGTATTTCTATTTTAAAGGTGTAGCACATGTAGGCAAGAAGTAGGCATCTCCATGGGGACCATTTGTGCTACCATCTTGCAAATCCTTTTTTTTCTGCTGGCAAAATCAAAACAAGGGATTTGGCCAAGCTGTTTTCGTTCAATAATGGTCACACAGCCAGTTCCCTTCCACTGATTTACCCACCTGAGCTAGAAATAACCTAGGCCAATGCGCAGTTAGCTCCCTTTTATCAGAATCCAGCTGTGTGTGTTGATGCACTTGAAGATTTCTTGACCAAAGCTTGCGATATAAACGGAGAACAACTGTAAATACGCATCAGTCGGAAAGCGCACGTTAAATCTCCAAAGTAGGGAAGTAAGTAAGTAAGTTACTGGCCAGTCATGTTAAGCTTTAAAAGCATGTATGTCCCCAGAAGTTAAGTTAGTGAGTGAGTTGGGTTTAACGCCGCTTTTAACAGTATTCCAGTGATATCACGACGTGTCAGCTTGATGTGGGAGTAGAGGCCGAAGTGATGCAGGTCCGAGACGTTAACCACTTCGCTGAAACCCACGGGCACGGGTATGCTGCTGACAAACCTAGAAACATAATTGGGGCAAACTTGGATTCGAACCCACAATCGTAGATTTCTGGCGTGCCCAAGGGACGCAACTTGGCCATCCGTGCCACCCGAAAAAAAGTTAGTAAAAAATAGTATTATATGGATCTACATGGTATTGAATTCCATGGTGACTATTTAAGGCCGAAAAGACCAGGGAAATCCAAAACCTGCTGCAAGCACAGTTGATGTACCAGTGAGGGGACTTTCTCAGGAAACCAAGGTTGTCATCTAACTCCTGTTTTCGCATGGCAGGGTCACTGGTGTGCGGCGTAAGGCAGCACATTCTTATTTTTATATGCAAATTGTGTGAATGGCGGTGCAACAATAGGGCAGGACAAGCTTACCCTTTCGCGAACAAGTGGTGTCATCACTGATTTACAGTGCGACATTCATATAATGTTCATATAAGCTATTTTCCCTGTACGCCAATTGTAATCTGTTTCGGTAGATAATCTAGACTGGTAATTCTCTTGGATTGACAATGTATACTGTTATGCAGTACTTTTTGTATCTTGTTTGAGAGCTATTGTCAGAAGAGATTCATGTTTATTGTGTTGCATGCTAAATGAACTTAATCTTTTTTTAATAATGCTGCTTAGCCTTTTGTTAAAAATCTACAATGCGACCTGATGATAGGTAGTCAAGTTAAATTGCTGAACATTTTGTAATTCAAAAATGCTGATTTAGTTCCCTCTCATGGCATACATACAGTATTGTGGAGGGTTTTTTGTCACTCTGAATCTGCACATGTCTAAACATGAAACAGATAAGACGTTTCATTGGTACCTCTTATTTTCGGTTAAGGTGGGTAAATCAGAAGCAGGGAATAAGCTGTGTGACCGTTATAGTATACGCCAAAGCCTTTTCCATGCTGAAATTATGTTTCTGTTGTAATTTGGATACTCGGTCTGCGTAAGTTCAATTTTTAAGCTGCCGTGATAATCTGATTACGGCTTGAACATTACTCGCTCACGAATTATCAGCTTTCTGATGATTGTAATCAACGCAAGGGTCAAGCGCTGGATGGACAAGATATGTGACAAGTCCCTTCTTTCTGTCTGTTGTCTTCATTGCCCTCCCTTCCTGCACATGTGGGCATTTGCTGACTGTTCGCTGTGATTTCGCAGTTTACTAAATCCCAAAACAGCAGGGAGACTATAACACAGCGACAAAGTGTGACTCAATCAAAGTGACAAAAGTCAATTGGTTCGTTTTATCATTTAATCACGTATAGATGACTAAATAGAAACATGCATCCATAATGTGGATGTATGTTTCAGTAAGTATTGGATTATAAAGTCTTACACTGCAGTGAAACAAATTAAATCTTGTAATACATATATGCAAATACCATAGCTTTGTATTATCTTGTATTTCCACCTTATTAAAATAATATTTCACAATTTTGACATACCTGCGCTACACAATTGACCAATTCATTAAAATATGAATAAAATAATACTGTTATTATTTCAAAAATCACAAAACTATATAATCTCATGAGATAATCCTGTAAAAACCAACAACCAGAAGACAAAATTTGTTAATAAACACCACACTGAGCAATACTGCAGCTAAAATACGGTAAGGAAGATAATTTGTGGATGTCAACTTCTTTTTTATGAGGAACACATCGTTTCGGAGTATATACTCGCTCCTTCATCATGGGATTTTTTTTTAACATGATGAAGGAGTAAGTATATAAAGAAGTTGACATCAACAAATTCTCTTTGTTATATGTATCACTTCTAAATGCCGTTCAAAGACTTGATATATTACGGTAAGTTTTTAATAAACGTGTCTGTACCATACAACCCAGTGATTGATCTTATGCTTAAAATTCCATATATTGTCAGGGAATGATGTCACACAATAACCCAAGTCACTGAGCCTGACCACCGAATCCATTAAGCCACCACCTCTTACACGTTTAGTTGGTGGGAAACTGCACAGGGCCATATGATGTACCACGTCTAATTCAATACAAGGTTTCATCGTGATTTTTCGAACCGTTATACTCTGGAAACGAAGGACAACATGTTGCTTTGGGAAACGCAAAACAATTTTTAAAAAACTTGCCAAACACTTGAATGGCACAAGGCACTTGTTTCATGCTTGCCTTTTGTGCACCCATAGCGTCACCAAGAAATAATGAATTGTATATGAGTTATGCAATGGAAATCCTACCCTCATTTCCAACTTGTAGCCTTGGAAACGTACAAAACTGTCCAGCGCTTGTTTGATGTGTATTCAAAGTTTAACAAAGACATCAGGAAGAACTGTATAAGGATCTATACCGAAACGTCGCCTATATCGCAGCATTAAAGAATTTGTTATCCATAAATTGTGTCAACCTTGACATTCTGAACAGTTTATGAAATAGTCCTGAAATTTGTTAGCAAAATCAAAATCAAAATATGAACAAAAACTCCTGAATATCAAAAGACATTAGCTCAGCGCATGCCTGGTGTTTGTTTCGCGAAGACATATTGAACAGTTTATTAGTTTATGCTCCGGAAACGAAACGTGACTGGCAGAGCCTGTGTTTATATTATCAGCAAAAACTCGTTTGGGCGAGTCAGAAAACACATTCCACGTCGTCCATGACAAGGGTATCATAATATAACAAACACCTGTATACTCATTAAATGTATGTCAGGTGGGGGGGGGGGGGGGGGGGGGGGGGGGGCATTCATTGAGAGAAATGTAAATGCGAGAATACGTTATCATCATTGAAGGGTCTTGAGAAAATAACATTTTGAGATAAGGAAACAAATTAAATCAGTCCATATTAAATTCCAGGAAAGTACCTGCCCAGAATACATATAATGTCATGTGGATGATTTGTAAGAGACCGACCATTTAATATGGAGGAGACCGACCATTTAATATGGAGGAGCCCAACAGTTTATTTTAACCTATAACAAATTTCTACACATGCAACATGTCCAGTGAACAATAAGCAAGCAAAGGAACTGATATTCATTTCTTTTTTTAAAAAAGGGAAAAAAATAACTGTGCTTCATATGAAGTTCAATAAAAATATATTTATTCTGAAATTAAACGATCCAACTTTCTTTACATACTCGGGAAGACATCTCCTCGACTTTAAAGTCGTGAGTCACAGAATGCACGTGCATAAAATTTCCACGGCGCAAGACATGGGTGTTTGTTTTCTTGGCAGGTGTATGACACTCACACAGTGATTTTTAAATGCTTATTCAAGCACTTTTTTAACCGTAAATAACGCTTACGATCGTCTATGTGTGACATCACGTCAACAAGACAATCATATTCGGTTGGTACATCCACTGAATTATTACCAAACTGACACATTAACAGCTACAACAATTAATGGGTTCCTGGACGCAAACGGTTGGGGAAACACAACACATCCGGCCCCGACGTCCAGCTACGAGCTTAGCTGTGCTTCCACATCACCGTCAAGCACGCCTAACTTGGTGCTGACAGCTTCTAAGCATCTAAGCCATATAGCTGGAATATTGCTGAGTGCGGCGTTAAACAACACACAAACTGATGGTCTCGAAAGGGTCTACAGGAGTTCAGGGGAACGTTTTAGCGACGCTTGCGTTACTCAACTTCGTCAGAGAACACAGTTCATCATTGTCATTGACAATTTGAATGGCTTATGCAACCAGGACGACGTCGTTCGAGATCATGTTCATGTCCTTGATGCAAATGCAGGGACGTAAAAACGTCACGTTGCAGCCAGACAATGTCCGCCCCTATGTTGCATGTGACGTAACACACGTTTTAAAACAGCATAACACTGCTGTACTATCATGGTCGGCTATTAAGACCAGAGCCAGCCGGTAACGCTAGCTCAGTTGGGCTAATATTTGATTGACATTTGGAACAATATCCAGCATGAGGTTTTCAATCATCTGGTGTCTCAAATGGCCATCGGTACTTCGCCTGTATCAACGGAAATGGTGGCCATGCCCAATATTGACATGCTTAATTGAGTTATTGCACCTCCCGTCTTTAGGGCGTATCGCTGTCACCAGGTATGTTCTTTTCCAATGAATTTGTTAAAAAAAACATTTATCACACGATGGTCCAAATATTTAGTTATTTCCCATAACATGACATTTTCGCCACTTAATATGAAGCATGATTACTTTTTTCCCGTTAGTATACCTACCACCCCATCCCGCACCGCCCCCAAAATATCAAATGGTCTCCCCCTTAAGATATAATATTTCATCATTTCGTACACCCAGTTACTTTTCATCCTTTCCTATCAAATAGGACAAGGACACACGAAGAACTTACATATTCATATATACATTAATCACATGGCCATGTGATAAGATTTTCTCACAGCCTTACACAAGAATGGCAGGTCGCAGTACAGCAGCCCCGACCGTGACGATAGTTGTGATGGAGGACCACAGAAAAAAGGGAGGCAAGCATGATCCACTGGTCTGCATCAAGACTTCTGTTGGAGATACGGAGAAATCATATTACTGGCTCGTCTTTTAAAAAAAGCATTCACTGACCCTTATCTCCACTTCTGAACGTTCACAGATAACAGAAACATCTCATTCAAAATTCGTTTGTATCAGATAAAACGTCAACATCCACCATCGCATTTATTTGCCAGTATTTCGAAAAATATGCTAATTCTTGTGTGACAGTATCAGTGTACAATTACTAGGCCGGCGGGGGGGGGTGAGTGAGTGTGGTTTTACGCCGCATTTAGCAATATTCCAGCAATATCACGACGGGGTACACTAGAAAGGGGTTTCACACGTTGTACCATTGCACATCCATCCTGACCCACAGACCCACAATTCCCATCAGAAGTGTCACATTGCTCAGGCTGGCATCCCTCATTGCACTCATACATACAGTCAGGGCCATAGGCGCCCGTGTCACATCCTGTCGTGAAAAGGAAATTGCTTGCACAAGATGAACAGATTTGTATTTTCTTTGTCACTTAAAATAACATTGCTTGGTTGGTGTATTGTTTAACGCCGCACTAAGCAATATTCCAGTTATATGAGGGTGGTTAGTAAATAATCGAGTCTGGACCAGACAATCCAGTGATTGACAGCATGCGTATCGATCCACGCAATTGGGAAACGATGACACGCGTCAACCAAGTCAGCGACCCTGACTACCCGACCCCGTTAGTCGCTACTTACGACGAACATAGTCGCCTCTTAAAGCAAACATGGGTTGCTGAAGACCTATTCTCCATTCGGATCTTCACGTGTCAGTTAACATAACGGAATATTGTTGTACATAACACAATTCACACCGTTTTGCTTGTTGTTTACATCAGAATATATCAATGTCATTTCGTTATTACTATCGTTTTCTATATATTGTATAATGTCTTGGGGATAATACCATAACGATGATGCAACTTCAGAGAAAAACTATTCTTCATCAAATATTATGTTGCCTTGATTTATTGATCTAACACCATAGATTTACGTATTATATTTGCAATTGATCGTGTCAGAATGAGTGACAATTCAAGTTTTGCACCTCTTTCACACCTTAATAAAGGTATATTGGTACCACTTACTGTTGTCGCATTTGGCCATGTTCCATCCTGGCAGACACACGTCACAGGTGCCATCAACTCGGTCACATGTCTGGTTGACACACCCAGCAGAGCAGTTCAGCCGACAGTGTTCCCCATATATACCAGGCGGGCAGACTGGTGAGAAATGATGAGGAATGCAACACGTAGGAACCCCCATGCTCATGACGTACATGTATAACACTTCATGCTATAAAGGTAGATGAAATAGATGAACAGGTATTTCCCGATAAATCATTCATATGTGTCTGCAATACTAGTAGAGATATATGCATAACTGTATCTCGGACACAAAATGTCGTGTAGCTGAAAGGTCAAATTAACCTGTAATGTACTTCCTTGGTGGACACTTATTGTAACTGTATTACATTGTTTCTGTTGAGATTCGGTAGAAGCTCATTGCATTGTATTTGGACATTAGTTGTCCGGAATGTCGTTATGTTTAATGTAATCAGTTTTGAGGAAGTATTTAGACGCTAAAAAAAACATATCACACAAGTCAATACGAAATAAGACAACAGTAATGTATAAAGTCCGACACGTACGTATTGCACATCCCGGCACTCTCCACCCAGGTCTACAGATACAGGTCCCGGTATTAGCGTTACAAGTCCCCCAATCACATCCAGCACCACACTCTACACAGTCACCTCTATCCATGTAATAGCCGCCCTCGCAGTCTGTAACGTAAATGAATAACACATGTTTAATGATGGTATGTGACGTATGTGACTATTGTGTTATAGGCTTTCAGTAAATTAACATTATGATAATATCCTTGGACATGAAACACGAACAGAGAACACACCAAAATGGTGGTGTTTTGTGAAGCCCAGACACTCCTTCACGTCTATCCATGTCTATCTATTTCCGCATTCTGTAACGTAAATGATTAAGCGGCGAATAACGCATGTTTCATGAAGTCATGTGACGTTAGATTGTGTTACACCTGGTGACATCAGCATTTGATACTGATGCAAAAACACATGCATATGATCTAGTCTAAATCGTACAATGCATTATTGTTTAAGTAAAGAGTTTTCTGGCTATATATTGTTATGCATTAATTGAATCAACATAATATTCCTGTACACGTACAGAGAACAAACCAAAAGTATGGTGTTTGTGAAGACCAGCCCCATCTCAGACAGCAATTATCGATGATGAGTGACGTCCAAGAAACTTATCACCATTTTAGGATGACAAACTATTTTATTCTAATCCGTTTAATGCTTTTGTGATTACTTGTTAAATGGGCATTGTCAGAAGGATTAACATACATAAGGTACAATTGAACAGGGAAGTCGACTAGGGAGGGCGCTACTAGAGCGCATCGTCCTTTGCATCATATCTGCCAATGAGCACATATAGAGAGTGAAAGTAACGAACATGTTAATTTGTTTTCAAAAAGCCTTCCATGAAATTTCCATATTGTTGGTGGTTCCACTACATCCAACTTTCTTCACATGCAGTTGTGAAAAATAATAACTTAGAATTTAAAAAAAATAAAAATAAAGAATGCCCTAAACCGATTAAATCAACCGTCAGGCCCCTCGTTTCCCCTAGTCTTGACACAATAATGGGATGTCCCTAACTCTAATGTCAGGGGTAATAGCGAAGAAATACCTAAGGATTGTCCCCAAATGCAGAATTGGACGAACGGGTAGACATGTACGTGGTCGGGAACTGCCCTTGAAACGTCGTATCCAATGTCATAAAGTAAAGAGTGTCACACCCACTTTGACCCCTCATCGTCTTATTTTAGCACACATTCTTTCACAAAATAGACACCATGAATATTGTGAAAATGACGTCAAATATGTACCTTATAAATATAACACCTATCCTCTATTAATTAAGTTGCAGTCGATAAAACAAGAAATTACAATAACGAATGTAATAATATAATTGATGCATCACTTTTGTTATTCGATAACATAACGAGTACAGAAAATAGTAGAGAGGAAATTAACACACAAACAACAAGCAAACAATAGTTCAAAGACAGTACTTACTGTTGCATCTAGTTCCCGTCCAGCCAGTTTTACATGTGCAGTGACCGTTCGGGCCATCACAAACTCCATTACATCCAGCTCCACACTGTGTACAGTCTTGTCCGTCTTCGTAATACCCGACACTGCATCCTGGAAATTAACACATATTTTATGTTGACTCCGAATGAATTACAAGTGGGCTGCGGTTGATAATTGAGAGTGTTGCGAAACATCATCAGCGTTGTGTGATAAGCTTGGAGGATCGTTTGATAATGTACAACATCCTCGAACTTCCCCCAAATATGACATCAATTTCCCAGTACCGTGATATCTGTGGTTGAACAAATAGTTATTCCCAACTCAGTTACCGTAATAAATCGTGAAACGATGCCCCTCCCCGTAACAAACTAACGACAGAGAACCATCACTACCATAACAGTATATAAGTATCATTCAATGCAAAGTGGACCTATGATTTCAAATCGTCAGGCAGCATTGACTACACCTTGAGTCGATATCTATTACACAAAATGTATACCAGTTGTAAATTGTCCTCCAGATATTTCAAAACAGAACATGCGTTTTTAAAAGCCACCACTCATTACGTCCTTTGTCACAATAGGCCGTTGGCTAGGTATGACCCAGCTGAGATGACAAGCCAAATCCTGAGCATACATCCAAGCGTTGTTCCGATGTAGCTAAGCCGAGAATGCAATACTGGGTATCCTACTCTGATATTATAAGAGTAAATTTGTTCCAAATTGTGCAAAAGATTTTCACCTGGTAACATCACATGTTAAGAAGTACTTCAAGAGATGTACTGGAACACGTAATCATACCCCTAAGTGATATACGGCAAAACCGGGCGAAAACGCGATATAGGGTACCATACTTTGAAAGGCTGTAACAACAAGTTCGTCCCAACTTTTTTCTTGTTAACATTCAAAATCATGTTTAGTATGTTTATGGGCTTTAAAAAAAAGTGGGGTTTGGATGGTTGGGGGGGGGGGGGGGGGGGGGGGGGGGGCTCGTGGGTCAAACCTGACAAATGAAAAAAATCCGGTACAGTAAACTACGGTTATAACGAACTCGAAGGGACCACTAATTTTAGTTCGTAAAAACCGCAGTTCGTTATAAGCGTTAAAGGCACCACTTAAGTATGTGCCTGATAGCTTTGCCAAGTTTCGATCAAAAACACTGAATGGTTTTCGAATTCTGCCCCGGAAACGAACCCAAGCCTCTAATTGAGTCTATGTCCAACTTCATTCCATAAAAATTTAAAATAATATAAATTAGAAAAATCCCAAAAATATCAAAAGTCACCACTTTAGTATGTGCCTGATAGCCTTGCCAAGTTTCGATCACATACACTGAATGGTTTTCGAATTCTGCCCCAGAAGGAAATGATTACGGACGGACAGACTGGCTGATCGCTATATCCCCCCGCATTATATGCCGTGGGGATAGAAAAGGCTAGCATAAGCCAATAATTTGTCATTCAATTGTCAATATGTTTCAACTTCCAAAATGTCGAGACTCAGCGCTGCCGATCGGAACATCGCCGAGGAGGGGATCGCAGTCTTCTGTTGCACGCCACCTCAACGTCGACCACAGCACCATTTGCCGCCTTTAGAACCGATACACACTGTTCAATTCCACTGCAGACCGCCCGAGAACCGGCCGACCAAGAGTTATCACCCCTGCACAGAATCGCTACATTCGACTGTTCCACCTACATCATCGCAATGCCACAGCTAAGGAGACTGTCGGACGCATCCCTGGTTTGAGGAGAATATCGGACCAGACTGTCAGAAACCATATTCGCGAGGCTGGAATCCGACCCAGAAGACCAGTTATCGTCCCTGTTTTGCAACAGATCCATCGACAGCGACGCTTGCGTTGGTGCCAACCTGACAGCCTTGGAATTTGAGAGTCTGGAGACGAGTGTGGTTTAGCGATGAATCACGCTTTCTTCTTCACTGGCGAGATGAAGACAACGTGTTTATCGTCGTTGAAATGAGCGTTTTGCCCCACATTGTGTACGGGAATTCGACAATTTCGGTGGCGGCAGTGTCATGGTGTGGTGGGTCATATCCTACACCACGAGATCTGACTTGTGGTTCAGGGAAATCTGACAGTAATTAGATACATGAATCAAGTTCTTCAACCTCACCTTCTTCCAATCATTGACCGCCAGAGGGAGCTGTTTCAACAGGACAACGCTCCACCGCACACAGCTCGTGTCACGGTAGACTACCATCATAATGCCGACATCAACGTCTTGCCCTGGCCGTCAAGGTCTCCAGAACTTGATCGACGTGTACGTCAACGTCAGAACACGAACGAAGACACTTCAACAACTGGCCAACGCGTTACAACCAGAATGGCGCAGAATTCCGCAGGACAGAATGCGTACACTTATCCAGTCAGTACCGAAGAGATGTAGAGCCGTGATTGCAGCCGGAGGCAGTCACACGAGATACTGAGTTCAGCGCGACCTTGTGACCTTATGTGACATGACAATTAACATTTCAATGCCTTTGTACAACAACAACATGTGACTATCGAGCTCCAAATTTTCATATTTGTATCTATGAAATTAAACTAAATATACCGACTTCATTAGGTACAATATATTTTTAAAAATCTACTTGTGCGTTTCTTTTTCTGGAGAGCGTAGTATATAAATCTACAACTTTGAGGCTTTGCTTGAGATAACATACATGAGGAAATGCAAGAAATGCGTACGTTAATCCCCGAAAAGGAAAACTAATTTGTAAATTATTTCCTAACAAGACATTTGCAGTGTGGGAATTATGCTTAAATGTAGACTACTCGTAGATTAAACCACACATAACTGTGACAGATAGCTGACAGACATAACTGAAAGGATTCATAATATCGCAACACAGCGATGAAGAAATATGAATATGTATGTGATGTATTAAATTTAAACCCAGGGACAAGGCGATGCATATTGTCAACGAGAGTGCGAGTTAATGCTGCTGTTCGCAATAAGTGTCTATGATAGGTAAACCAATGGTTCATAGCACTTATAGCCGCCGGGACAGGCTGACACTTAATAAGCCAGGGTGCCGTTGTACAAAACAACCTTATCACTACGACTGTTGTAAGTCGATGTTAAGGTATGGGAGTTACGATCAAAGCTAAGATCGCTTTGTACAACGGCACCCAGATCCCATTTAGACCAATCAACACTTAGTAATCCTGTGACAAGCATGATGTTCCTAGGACGTAGTCTTCCCAGGCGTCCCTACAAGGATCCATATTTTGAATGTAAAATTATTGCTTATAAAACTATTGCTTGAAACAAAGACCATTGTTTGATATGGAATTCAAATGTCTCATGTCTACGTACAACATTCAACAGATCACATCAACTTTACACATATCCTTATGGGTGGAAACGTTCCCCTGAATGTCTGTCTTTATGAAGTCGGAGGCCCAGTCAGTCACGCAAGACGTTTGTCAGCACCATTACCGTGCTCATGGGGTTCACGTGTAAACATGTAAGACCTGCATCCCTCAAGGCTTTCCTTCCAGGTCGAACTTAAACTCTGTGATATAACTGAAAACTTCTAGTGTTCAAATCTGCGTAAAACACTCACTCAAATATTGAATATTGTATCCACATCACTCCTGAAAGTCCAAATACTATCTAAAGAATCCTTTCACTTGTCATTATATGATCATAACGTAATTTGGTAAACTTTATCGTCTATATCAATCAGTTTTATTCAGTACTTAAAAGGCCAATGCGGTTTTATATGTAGGTGACGTGGTTGTTAACTAACAATTCTGTTTCTATGTGACATCGCGTGGTTGACAGGTTACATAACATAGTATCATTAGGTGAAGTTAAAAGATCTACAAACTTATGGACATTCGGGTGTACGGAGTAGAAAGATGGCAAATATTTATCACGTAAATGTTTGTAAGCTTGACATACCAGGAGAAAGTGAAACTCATCTTCAATTGAATTGGTATTACACAATGTGCATATTCTGTCTCTTCTATCAGTGTAATTATATCTACCAGTCTCTATATACAGGTTGTGAGAGGAACATTTAAATCGTGCTAGTGCAATTCTATTTTTGTTACAGAGTTTACAGAGGTACGCCTCAATTTCAATATTACTTTTCATGATTCTATAATATAAACATTTATTTGATTTGGATATTAATTCTAACCATTTCTGCAAATACATATCTTTTAGTCTCTGGGTGAAGGACATTAAAAAGAGCGGTTCTGATTCTACACACTGATTATACCACACATAATTAAAACCCGTAATAAATAATAATTCTTTTACGTTTGTTACCAAATTTCATTTTCCAGTACTGTCATAGAGTTTTAACATATCATAGCACTTCCTGGGGTTTCTATCATTAGTCATGTTTATCAAGCGAAGCCAGTCTTTAACAAGTTTTAAGTAGGATTGAATATACAGCGGATATCGTCCCGTTTCTCCATATACCATTATGCTGGACGTACTATTTTTAACTCCTAAATATTTCTTGCAAACAAACAAATGTACTTTTTAAATTTGATTATGAATTTTTAAACCCAAGATTTCAGCACCATAGTGTAGTATTGGAATTATCGTTGTATCAAAAAAATCAAAATGTGATCTAAATGAGATGTCTCTTAGAAATGGAGACTGTCTAAATATACCAGTCCAAACCTTTTAGCTTGTATAGCAACTTGATTGACGTGAAAATGCCATGAAAGTTGATTTGTGAAATAAACACCAAGATATTTATAGGAAGATGTGGTTTCCCAAATTTGTCCATTGTGAAACCATTTTTCAGTTGATGCTAGTTTCCCCCCATTTTATAGACTATTACTTTTATTTTTTCTCTATTTACAACTAAGTTTGATTCTTTACAGAATTTTTCAAGTTCAATAATTTGCCTTGTGCAAACCAATCACTGTCGTGGAGAAATGTATGACATCATCTGCGAACAGCTACAGAAATAATTCCGTATGATCTGGATGTAACTGTATACCATGGGAGCAAGTTTCTTGTATTTGAGTAGCTAATTCATTAATGAAAAAGGAAAGGCTTTTCTAGAGATCAAAAGACCATATCATGCAACTATTACACCAACTTAAATTTTTGAATTAATAATAATGTAGTATTATTATGTTCTTTGTTTTAAGGGGCGGTGGGGTAGCCTAGTGGGTAATGCGTTCGCTCATCACGCATAAGACACGGGTTCGATTCCCCACATGGGTACAATGTTTGAAGGCCATTTCTGGTGTCCCCCGCCGTGATATTGTTGGAATATTGCTAAAAGTGGTGTAAAACAATACTCACTCACTTTATTGTTTCTTGGCCACATACTTTTAAAACTGCTTTAGGTTCAGGAATAGTTAATTCTTAGTTAAATAGTTAAATCAGTCTGTCCTTCTCCCATCGTGTATTTTTTGTTATGTGACGTGCAGCACACATAACTACTTTAAACAACAAATACGAATAAATGTTCCCTTATACATATAACCTGTCCTTTAAACATAAAAACGGAACTTTAACGGAAGGTGTACGTGTGTAAGAAAAACCACGCAGAAGTCCTTCATTAGCATACTTAAGGGCGACCTCACGTTAAATGCAGAAATAAATGGCCAAAAGCGAATCCGTTCTTAAATAATACATATCATACTGTAGGAGGGAATGTTATGCTTACAACAATCACGTATTAAAAGAACTAAGGGGGTTGTAGCCTTTTAATTATTCCCATGGAATTAACCAATACATTTCAATATATCTGTCGATTTGACGAACTTGCAAGTATTTTGAACTTAAGATATATTGATTGACACATACCCTGTCATTTTACATACACTGGATATCACTAATTGCTTTGGTTATTGTCTGTGCTAATTGTCCATCGGGTTTTCATTTGTCCCTTTCCATTTCGATTAACTATTTACTATCAGTGCTGCCTCCCGTTTGTCCATTGTCCATTGCCTTAATTCCATTGATTTTAGTACTAGCTTCCAGTTGTCTATCATTATCACCTACCAACGCTTATCAACCGTTACGTGTTGGCTTCCATTTGTCCATTACTATCATCTATCCGCGCCATTTGTCGGTTGGCTTCCCTTGGTTAATTTCCACCTTTGCTGTGTTATTACTTTTGTTGTTGTTACAGGTAAATCTATATGTTCTATGCTTCAAAGCATTTATTCACCTGATGAAGGAGTAAGTATATGCTCCAGGTTGTTTTGTAATAAATAAGTTGACATCCATATATTCTCTTCTTTATATGTATCACTTCTAAATGCCACTCAAAGACTTGACACTTGATATCTGTCAAAACTATTGCACACGCTACTACACAAAACAAAGGAGAACCCGTGAAGATCCGGGTTAGAATTGGTCTTCAGCAACCCATACTTGTCGTAAGAGGCGACCAACGGGATCGGGTGGTCATGCTCGCTACCCAATTGTGTGATCGATGCTCACAAGACATGAGTATGAGACTCAAATGCTATAAAAATGAAATTTACAGAAAACAAATCCTCTCGAGCTAGCCTAACAAATACAATGTGAAAGAACGGAAGCGGAGCGGCTCACCGCTGGGCAGTGATAAGTTGCGAGTCTCTAAGACCACTGGACCATGACGAGCTGGGTTTTACGACACTGTGACAGCTATTATAAAGTTGGAGTCCGGTGAAGATCTGGGGTAGAATAGATCTTCAGCAACCCATGCTTGCCATAAAAGGCGACTATGCTTGTTGTAACGGGATCGGGTGGTCAGGCTCGCTGACTTGTTTGATGGATGTCATTGTATGCCAATTGCGCGGATCGGTGCTCATGATGTAAGTCAAGGGATTGTCTGGTCCAGATTCGATTATTTACACACCGCCGTCATATACATATAGCTGGAAACATGCTGGCGTTAAACAACGAACAAACAAACAAAACAAAACAAAGAAGAACCAAGTTTCCGTATGGCCAGCCGATGTTCCTATGATGTGGGGTGTGTGGTCTCATGTAACATACGTTACATGACATATAATCGTAGTAAGATCTAATTGTTACAGAGACTGCAATCCCACGAAGATTAATGTGTTTGGTGGTTTGTACTTTACTGTCTCCACTGTACATACATTATATGACAATAAGTGGAAGTACTTCACTTGAGGACAAATTACTGCATTAACATCATACAAATGTGATGATAATCCGTTTAATGCTTTTGTGATTACTTGTTAAATGGGCAGAAGGATTAACATACATAAGGTACAAATAAACAGGAATTCGACTAGGGAGGGCGCAACTAGAGCGCGTCGTCCTTTGAATCTAGTAGGGTGTGAAAGTAACGAACATGTTGTTTTCAAAAAGCCTTCCATGAAATTTCCATGTTGTTGGTGGTTCCACTACATCCTAATTTCTTCACATGCAGTTTTGAAAAAACTAATAACATAGAATTCTTAAAAAAAGAAAAAAGAATGCTCTGAACTGTACATTTATTAAATTACGTCAACGCATCAGCTCACTCGTTTGGAAACCACACCAACTCTTTCACTCATACAAAGAAAATGCACCCCCTCCCCCTCGTCTTGACCAAACAAAGGGATGTCCCTAACTCCAAGGTCAGGGGTAATAGCGATGAAATACCCAAGGATTGTCCCCAAAGACAGAATTGGACAAACGGGTAGACATGTACGTGGTCGGGAGCTGCCCTTGACACGTCGTATCCAATATTAAAATAAAAACATTGTCATACCAACTTTGACCCCTCATCGCTCTTATTTAATCTTGTTGTAGCTAACATTCTTTCACAAAATAGACACTATGAATGTTGTGAAAATGACGTCAAATATGTACCTTATAAATACAACACCTATCCTCTATTAATTAGGTTGCAGTCGATAAAACAAGAAATTACAATAAAGATTGTAATAATATAATTGGTGCGTCACTTTTGTTTTTCGATAACATAACGAGTACAGAAAATAGTAGAGGAAAAAATAACACACAAACAACAAGCAAACAACAGTTAAAAGACAGTACTTACTTTTGCATCGAGTTCCCGTCCAGCCAGTTTTACATGTGCAGTGACCGTTCGGGCCATCACACCCTCCATTACATCCAGCTCCACACTGTGTACAGTCTTGTCCATCTTCGTAATAGCCGACACTGCATTCTGGAAATTAACACATATGTGTTATGTTGACTCCGAATGAATTACTGGTGGGCTGTCGTTGATAAATGAGAGTGTTGCGAAACATCATCAGGGTTGTGTGATTAGCTTGCTGTATCGTTTGATAATGTACAACATCCTTGAACTTCCCCCAAATATAATATTATTTTCCCAGCACCATGGTATCTGTGGTTGAACAAATAGTTATTCCCAGCTCAGTTACCGGAATAAATCGTGACACGACGCCCCTCACCGTAACAAACTCACGACAGAGAACCATCGCTACCATAACAGTATGTAAGTATCATTCAGTGCAAAGTGGACCTATGATTTCAAATCGCCAGGCAGCATTGACTACACCTTGAGTCGATATCTATTACACAAAATGTATACCAGTTGTAAATTGTCCTCCAGATATTTCCAAACAGAACATGCATTTTTAAAAGCCAACACTCATTACGTCCTTTGTCACAATGCCAAAAGTTCTGTGTTTCTTACGGTAGGTCTTTCCATATCAAAATGCTTAAATAATGGCCAAGCAATTTCAAAAAAAGAAACGCACAGGTTGTATGTAGTTCACTGAACCTGACAACACAAAAAACACAACTCGAAGGGACCCCTAATTATAGTTCGTAATAACCGTAGTTCGTTATAAGCATATACACAGCATTTATACAACAAATGGTCGGGACTAAAACATAGGTTCGTTATATCGGCCAGTTCGTTATAAGCATGTTCGTTATAAACGTAGTTTACTGTATAAAAATTGGATATATGTTATAGGAAAATGTTGGTGGCCTGATATTCGACGAACGGTGCGTCAAAACGATCTGCAATGTCTTAAAAGGCATTGTTGTCACACTTGTTCAAAAATGTCATGGAGGAAAACAGTTTAGCAAAATGCACGTGCAAGGTATGGCATTCGTAACTCGTGGTAGTGCCTATAAAAAGGCAAGCATAAGCCAATAATTTGTCATTCACTTGTCAACATTTTTCAATGTCAGAACAAGCTGAAGACACTTCAACAACTGGCCAACGCGTTACAACCAGAATGGCGCAGAATTCCGCAGGACAGAATGCGTACATTTATCCAGTCAGTGCCAAGATGATGTAGAGCCGTGATTGCAGCCGGAGGCGGTCACACGAGAAAACCGAGTTCAGCGCGACCTTGTGGCCTCATGTGACATGACAATGAACAGTTTTCAATGCCTTTGTATAACGACACCATGTGACTATCGAGCTCCAAATTTTCATATTTGAATCTATGATATTAAGTTAAATATACCGACTTCATTAGGTGTAGTATATTTACTAAAAATCTACTTGTGCGTTTCTTTTTTTGGAGAGTGTAGCTTAGAAATCTACAACGTTGAGGTTTTGCTTGGAATAACATACACGAGGAAATGCAAAAAATGCGTACGTTATCCCCGAAAAAAACAAACTAATTTGTATATTATTTCCTAACAAGGCAATGCAGTGTGGGAATTATGCTTAAATATAGACCAGATTAAGCCACACATAACTGTGACAGATAGCTGACACACATAACTGAAGGGAATCATGAAATTGCAAAACAGCGATAAAGAAATATGAAAATGTATATGTTTTATTAAATTTAAGCCCAGGGATAAGGCGATGCATATTGTCAACGAGAGTGCGAGTTAATGCTGCTGTTCGCAATAAGAGTGTAGGAAAGGTAAACCAATGGATCATAGGACTGATAGCCGCCAGGACAGGGTGACACTTAATAAACCAGGGTGCCGTTGTACAGAACAACCTTATCACTACGACTGTCGTAAGACGATGTTAAGGTATGGTATGCGCTAAGATCGCTTTGTACAACGGCACCCAGATCCCATTTAGACCAATCAACACTGAGTTATCCTGTGACAAGCATGATGTTCCTTGGACGTAGTCTTCCCAGGCGTCCCTACAGGGATCCAAATTTTGAATATAGAATTATTGCTTATAAAACTATTGCTTGAAACATAGACCAGTGTTTGATATTGAATTCAAATGTCTCATGTCTACGTACAACATTCAACAGATCACATCAACTTTACACATATCCTTATGGGTGGAAACGTTCCCCTGAATGTCTGTCTTTATGAAGTCGGAGGCCCAGTCAGTCACGCAAGACGTTTGTCAGCACCATTACCGTGCTCATGGGGTTCACGTGTAAACATGTAAGGCCTGCATCCCTCAGGGCTTTCCTTCCAGGTCGAACTTAAACTCTGTGACATAACTGAATACTGACAGTGTTCAAATCTGCGTAAAACACTCACTCAAATATTGCATATTGTATCCACATCACTCCCGATAGTCCAAATACTATCCAAAGTATCCTTTCACTTGTCATTATATGATCATAACGTAATTTGGTAAACTTTATCGTCTATAAATAGTTGTAACACGTGTTATCGTTTCAGGGGCGGTGGGGTAGCTAGTGGTTAACGCGTTCGCTCGTCACGCATGAGCCCCGGGTTCGATTCCCCACAATGTTTGAAGGCCATTTCTGGTGTCCCCCGCCGTGATATTGTTGGAAGATTGCTAAAAGCGGCGTAAAACAATACTCACTCACGTTATTGTTTCTTGGAGACATACTCTAAAACTGCTTTAGGTTCAGGAATAGTTCATTCTGTTACAGGAACAATAAATATTGTGGGTTTCGAATATATTATTAATGAAACGATGCACACTGCACCGGTCATGTGACAACAATGTAGAGAGTTTGCTGTCAAAATCAGTCTGTCCTTCTTCCATTGTGTATGTTTGTCATGTGACGTGCAGCACACATAACCACTTTAAACAACAAATACTCCCTAGTTCCCTTATACATATAACCTGTCCTTTAAACATAAAAACGGAACGTTAACGGAAGGTGTACGTGTGTAAGAATAAACACGCACAAGTCCTTCTTTAAAGCTTCTTGGAGTCTTTGAGGTTGGTTATAAGGGCGTTGATTTTGATAAAATTCATATTGCTATTATGTCAATAGTGTGGACTGTGAATCTTCATACATAGGTGCAGTAGGTATGAAGAACAGGTTGTGCTTTCGTTTTACAAAATAAACTATTTCAAAATGTATGTATGTGCAGTTGTTTGTGTTAAAGTAGAAAGGCATTAATGGTTATTTAGGTAAACGTACTAATGCTAAGATTACAGGGAGTATTCTTTCCATAATGTAGCCCATGCGAATCTAATAATGACATTGCATTATTTAGGAGTATTAACTTAGTTCTAAATTTTAGAAAATCTCTCATCACGGGTGGCCCCTTTCCTTCATTTTGGTCATACTAAACTCATTGATGTTGTGTATCTATACAACCATTATATCCACAAGAGTCAGAGTATATCATAATACATGGAGAAAAATCTGAGTCCATGATCAGGACGTGAATATCAATCGTTTTAATTATAGTCCGGTAGATATAGTGTCAAATCCTACCAAACCTACCACAAATTGCAACAGAAATGATTTCTCCTGTTTTATGAACAGAAGGCATCCCCTTACAGCATAGCAAAAATCTAGGAAAATCTAAGTTGGGAAAATTGTTTAATTTGGTAACGATCTTTAAGGGGTAGTAAATCAATATATAATACATAAAAAACAAAACATTTAATGTTTCATGTTTTGTTTAACCATATCATGTTAATATCAAATGAAAGCTGGTGTCTCAAGCAGTCCTTGTATATCTATAGTTTGTATCTATTTTGCAAAATGAAATATAATCGGCCTTTGAAAAAAAGGAAATGGGGGGAACACGTATATCAATATTTATTTATCTATATAATTTTTGTTAGTTTGAACTTTATTTATCTAATAATATAAACAATTGTTTATTTGTTTGAAAACCTTCATTTTAAAACATTTCCTTTTTAAAACATATATGTCAAGGTATATGTCAATAAATGTTTACAAATATGTTTCCCGACAAGCAGCACTTCGGCAGCCATGTTTACCAAGGAGACAGACTTTCATGTCCAGCAGGTATATACCACAAAGTAGTTTACAAGATAAACCATAATGGATATTATAAACAAATGAAATGCTGTATAAAATTGACTAAATCATGATATATATCAAGATAAAGAGTCTGTTTGTAAATGTTTCCTGCCAACCCTTTTGAGCTAAGTACTATGTACCTAACAACAAGTTCAACTTGAGTGATTAACCTGGAACCTCGAACTGAAAGGTATATTTAATTGTTTCATAGTAATCTTTTGCATTTGAAATTGTATAAAGTACTTTACAAATTACATTTTCTAGTTACTTTTTTTATCTGATGTACCTTGAGAAGTTATAAAGTTGTGAGAACTGGGGACATCATGTCAATGTTAACATAACTGAACTGTTTGTTTTGCGGAAGATCTGCAAACTATTCCAGTAAAAGGAAGATTGTAGATGTGTTTCCTGTTAGAACTAAAGAATTTGAAGACAAGATTAGAAGCACATGCTTGACAAGAAAGGATAGTTGGAGTGAGAAAGTATTTTCGAGATTAGAGTTTGCACAAGACCTCGATGCTGTCGATGCTATATATCATCAAACTTAAAGTGTAAACTTTAGGACAAACAGAGATATCCCCCGTCAATTTTCCAATGAAGATAATACACCGAAAAAAGTTAGGAAGACATGATTTGAAAAAGAGTGAAGCTTTCTTGAAGACAGCTGAAAAGCTAGAACAAGTTGATGGTGAACAGGTCTCAGTTCAAGATCTCATAATGAAGATGCAAGAGTGTCAATGTGATACTGATGCCTATGTATTTACCTACATGAAACAACAACTACTAGAATATTTTGTAGACATAACGGACATTTTTTCATTCCGGTTTTCATGACGGAAATAGTTTGCATGACTGCAATAAATGGGAAACCAAATGTTGCCACACTCAGAACAACAGCATCAAAGATATTACAAGAACATTATCAGAAGCCAAGAAGTCAAGATCCTGAAAAGGAAAAGATGAGACTGTTACAAACACTATCTAAACTTATAAAGAATTACATTGAATCTATGAATGTCCACACCAACACATATCCCACACCAGACGAACTTTCTAACATTTTGAGCAATGAAGAATATCTTCCCTCGTCATTGAAACTTCTATTACAAACCCTCTTTGTTGGAAAGGGCATCAACTTGAAACTGAGCACCCCACCCCTGCAATTCGGCTAAGGAATACAGCTACATCATCACTTTGCCTCTAAATACTTGATTGACACCCTTTCAAGTCTTGGATTTTGTAGCTCTTACTTCGAGGTAAAGAAGTTTGAATACTCTTCTGCTGTGAACCACGGTTTAGACCGAACATAACATTTGGCAGATTTGTACAATTTGTTGCTGACAATGTCGATCATTATGTCAGGACACTGGACGGCCTTAACACACTCCACGGAATGGGCATCATACTAACCATAACACCAGGAACCAAACACCAACAACCTATTCCAAGAACAGAAGTTGCAGCTGATGATTTGTGAACAGCATACAGATATGACCAGGGCGAGGATTCACAGAAATCCATCAGATGTGACAATAACTGCTAGACTACCTGGCTGATCGAGACCCATTCCACGAAGACAGACATAATGCCAATGGCATCACAGCTAATAACTCAGCCATCGCAGATAAGGCAAAAAGTGTTGGATAGATGATCTTTAATACAATGTCTGGCAAAAAAAACGTATCTGACTTTTCATTCAAGAAAACAAATGTAGCTGTAGGCATCACAGATTGCAGCGTTCTTCACTGTGTGGCGAATGTCGTGGCATGTCTTGTTTGAATTGCCAACAGCCTGCGGCATTTGAAGATAGTGAACTGTGGTTAATACATTTGCATACCTGTAACTATGCATGCGTGTGTGCTATATTGACAACTTGGTGGGGTGTATCGGTCAGCACATGACCGTTTCTTGCTGTTTGGAACAAGATAGATTACTATTATTGAAAGCTGAAAACAGATTTTTGCTGATTTCTATCAAACAAAACAAGATAGAATATGGAAAGGTAAAGCATGATGAAGCCTGTATTCGTAGCTTTTATTTGATATGTAACAAAGTTAACATTGTATAATTTAAAAAAAAATGAATATCTATATTTCAGTAAAGATGACTGAATTTGAAAGAGTTCCCCCCACTTAGATTTTTCTACATTTTTTATATGATGTTAAGGAGGGCTTGTTAAATATGAATCAACTAAAAGCATTTCTGTTGCAATTTGTGGTTGGTCTATCGTTATTTTGACGGGGATATAAGAGAACTATGTAAATCAATACCCGTTTTCTCTCTAGTTTTAGCAGGTGTGGTAATAGATGCGGAAGACTAAAAAACGTCTCCACTGGATCAGACTGATCTTCTGTAAGTACATGAATCAAGAGTACATCTTCATATTGCATAAACCACATGTACTTACATTTAACATATATGTAAAGCTCATAGTACAGTTTAAGCGGCCACGTGACCACAGTCTAAGCTTGAGATTCACCTAAAACTGCCAGTTAAAAATAGCTTTTCACAGTTTACTTTCATATTTCATCAAATGCATTTCAGAAAACATGTACTCAGTAAATTATCCTTTGAACAACAGGTTGACATGATTCAATGCATAATTAAACACAGTCTCAGTATCTGCCCGCAGAACAACTTGAGTCACACATAAACTATTTCGCAAATTGACATAATCGTCTTCTGATCGCTCATTACATCGATCGTTACATTAGAGCTCAAGTTGTGCAGTCTACATAAAACCCTACCAGCAAACATCCTTTTGTGTAAATTTTTATTTAAGAAGAGACTTCTTCTATGTTGGACGAAAGACGTGTTATTACTTATCAAACAACACACCTGGCAACCAATACACAATAGAAAAGCGCCATATACCAAGTATTCATGAGTATTCATACTTGTTTTCCTTGTAACATCTGTGTAATAAGTAATCTTAATGTTCGAAATGCAATGAGCCATATTGACAGAAGAATGTATGATCCACTGTTAATTGCACATCCTTTGACACGCAGTAAAGGAAACAGTAACATAACACCAAACAGAGTAATGCTACTTACCGTATGATAGCTCTACTTCACACACATATCCTATTAGGGGCAGTCTGATATCAGTGACTTTGTTTGGTTCAAAGGTATACAGCAGTAGGCCAGGTTCACTCTTGTCCTCAGTTGCGGTTAGTTTTTTGTTCCCGTTCTTCAAATGTACTTTAGAAAATACCGGGTATTCTGAAAATATTGACGCATGCCAGATCACAATAACTTGATATTTTGTGAGTCGAAAGCACTGCATGTGTGTCAGGACCAATTGCCAGAAATCTTGTATTTCGGTGAGTTCTGTTTGTTTCTTAAACAACTTACCTTTCTGAAAATTGTATATACACATTTGGTCACAATTAATTCATAACATGCTAAGAAATGGCATCTTAATACGTCGTGATTTTGATATGAAGGACATACAGAATTCAGTGTGAAACCAACAAACAACAAAGAAATTAACTGGACATTAACTGGATTATACAATTAACTAGTTTGCAAAACAATACAAATCATTGCAAAGTAATTTTGCAGTACACAATAGAGTGGCAGTAAAATATGCAGTACAATTACACCGGTGATATACCAGCATTGGTAGCATCCGCTGGTCTTGATGTAATGTGAGATGAGGGAGGCATGCGTTTGCCAACAGGAACAATGCAATACAATTACCACATTCTTGAACAATACATTACACTGCCATATAACAGTATATTCAGTTATTATCAATTTAACAAAGACTCAAAATCTAAAGACAAAGACTACAGAAAGACTCCTTTAATTTAATCTTCCAGAACGATTTTAAATGAGGGGAAATATTAACCTTTAAAACCTTCGACTTCTCTCGTTGGAAGCAGGCGAATTTTTCGACCACTGAACTCCTCACAGCACCAACACATTTGAAAATGCTTAATTTAAATATCTTATAATGGTGTCTGTCGACGAACTTATCTGAAAGGTGGTGTGTACAAGTGACATGGCGACATGTATGAAACATGGTCGGGGCGTGTGTTCTAGCTTATTCGACGGCAAACAGTCCGAACTGTGTCTCACTCTACACTCTATGGTATGCAGTTTCATGCCTGTATATTATCGAAAAAATAGGAACCTACCAGATGCAAGGCAAAAGCATGATCCTCGGATATTTCGGTTGGCCTACCAGTACCACCGTACCACGTACATAGTACCACAAACATTTCAAACACGTGAAAATATACTCTTCAAAAAAAGAAACTTGACATAGATGTAAAACCACTTTTTGCCAAATATCTAAAATAATTACATTAAATGTGAACCAAATAAGTCAAACATAAAGATGATGTCTCAATAATTCGCGAAAACACACGCAAAGCACATAAACGTTGCGTTTTGGGATCAATTTTACAGCTTCATCCAAACGCAACCGCCTGTAATAAACGTGCAGCACAGGATCCTGCATTTAAGCATGCAGACCCCCCCTGCTGAATGGGTATAAAAATCCACATCAACGGCTGTTCATACAGTCCTTATAACGGCAGTAGAAGCGGTGACAGAGTGCCAAGACTCAATGCAGCTCAACGGAACAACGCCATTGGGAGATTACAAGCTGGAGCAACTCAGCAAGAAGTGGCCATGCACTTTGGCGTATCGAGACATACAATCTCCGCACTGTGGACCCGATACAACAACACCAACAGAGTTGTCTTCCAGACAAAGGTCAGGAAGACCAAGGGTGACAACCCAAGCACAAGATCGATACATCCGGCTGCGACACCGCACTACTACAGCCACGTCTACAACCACACAGATCCCTGGGGTACGCAGAATATCAGATCAATGGTACGCAACAGACTGAGGAGAGGCTGGACATTTTGCACGGAGACCTGTTCGACGTCATGTATTGACCCCACGTCATGTGGCGGACCGTCTGCTATGGTGCCAACAGAGGGTTAGATGGGCACGTGCAAGGTGGAGAAATGAACTGTTTACTGACGAGTCCCGATTCCTACTCACATGATGGGCGCGCACGTGTCTACAGACGTCGGGGTGAACGTTACGCCCCCAACTGTGTGCAGCAGGTTGTCCCATTTGGCGGCGGGAGTGTCATGGTATGGGCCGGAATTCATCATGGTGGTAGAACGCCTCTCGTGCATGTGGCAGGTGCATTGACAGGTGTGCGTTACAGAGACTTGATCCTACAGCCTTACGTTCTTCCTCACGTCAACGTTCATGGCGGACAGTTCCAGCAGGACAACGCTAGACCGCATATTGCACGTGTTTGTCAGGACTTCTTACACCACAACAACATCCAGACATTACCTTGGCCAGCCCGGTCACCAAATTTGTCCCCAATTGAGCATCTGTGGGACGAGTTGGATCGACGCGTTCGCCGAAAGAATCCACCGCCCCAAACACTTCCGGCGCTTCTTGATGCACTTCAGCATGAATGGCAGCACATCCAACAGCGTGTTATTGATAACTTGATTGCATCTATGGGTCGTCGGTGTCAAGCGGTGATTGATGCACGTGGTGGGCACAACCGATACTGACATTTTCTGTACCCCTGTGACATTAACTGTATCATGTACGTGTGTCTGTCTAGGTGACACGATTAATGTTTTGAACATTGTGTACATTGATCTTCAAACAGTGTTTCAATTATGGTTTCTGTGTCCTATTTTGAAACAATCGCATTATATTACATTTTAAAAGTCAGTGTCAAGTTTCTTTTATATAGTGTCAAGTATATTTGTAGTATTTTGTTGCCGCTCACAACGGTAAAACAATGCCTTGTGAAGTCAGGGGTCATCCAGTGTGAATAAACTCCTCCTAGTGATAGATTGAATACGCCCAGCTATATTTTGAACATTTGTTTACTAAATATATCCTGCGACGGCGCATTTTATAGAAGGCGCTAGTTTAGGACAGCACGTTTATTTTCAAGATGTGTTTTATTTCGTTTTTTCGTAATTCAAGGGGCTAAAATGATTGTAAATGGGAATTAATATACATATATTCTTTTTTCGATTATTAATTTTTATTATCATGCACAGGAATGCAGTTTATTAGGTCTATTTTATTGGAACACAACACATCCAAATGTCGCGGATGTTTGGGGAGGGTACCCCGAACTCTATTCTTAGCCCTTGGATCCTCTTTTCGATCAATCACCCCTTTACGATCATTAGGGTTAGGAATTCCCGTATAGTGGCCATTAGATTACACGAACTCAATTCTTATCCCTTGGATCACCTTAACGATCTACCAACCCTAGCTTAACGATCATTAGGGTTAGGTAGCTGTTTAGTGGTTATTATAGATTCTTTAGCGGCTCTACAACATTCTTCACACAAAAACGTCGAGAAAAAAGAAAGAAAGGGTTTAGTGTCGAATATTTTGGCTCCTGGAAACTGTCCTGGAACATTCACACAAGTCGCTTTCACCTGCAACCTTTATTCATTTACTGATTCAAAAGCGAACTCACACATGTGTCGTCACCAGCCATGCTTATGCCTACCTCGTTCCTTACAATTATCACCCGACGAATTATTAAAAGCCATGCCATTCATGCCTACTCGCGAATTCGACACCTGACGCCTGATGCCAAGAGCTGTGGTCAGTTCCATCCCACTCGTCACCACTCGCCCCTTTCCGTCACCTGCAAGAAGACTCACCCCCCTATCGATGTGCGAAAATACGACAAACCAATCAGAATGCGCGTATGATTTCAAGTTCTTCGTCAAAGAATCCCTCAGAAATAATTTTTGATTTTACATATGTCTTGCATCTAAAAATATTCCAAAGACACAGTTAAATGTGTTCAATCATACTGTATAATTCCGCACGTCCCGAAGTGCTTTAAATTGCATCTGAAATATATTTAATATATGGGGAAAATTAGTGAACCATTATGCAACGAGTTGACAATTGATTTAGGTATGTCCGTTTGCGCTAAGACGGAACCCGGTCGCAAAAATGGCCACGAGCGGGGCACGAGTCGCTATTCGGCATGTCCCGGAATAACACGAGTTGGTCACGAATGTTCACATCCGACGGATTCACACTTAAACTGGTTGCTTGTCTTTGAGACACGTGAACTACGGCAGAGATCGCGAAGTTGTGGCACTGTATTCTAAAGGTACTCCCAATGAAAAAATACACATTATCGTCCTCAATACACAATACTCAGACGATAACATTACTTCGGGCTTTCCTCTCAAACCAAGCTGAGAGGGCATGATATAACCTCAAATACTGTTGAAAGTTAAGAATCACTCACTATCTTTTGATAAGGTTTTACAGTTGTTTGGTCAAACATTAACAGTTCAAAAAGAGAAACAACACAAACATTCAGCCTAATAATTGATTGTATTTCAACCTAATTACCAAATAAATCTAAAAAAGGTTTCGTGACTCAAAACATGGTCTTTGTGGAAGTGTTTTAGGACCCTGAAAACATTATTAGTGAATGAGTGAGTTAAGATTTATTGTCACATCGGCAGTATTTCAGCAATTTAGACATTAATAATAAATACGTTTAGACTATATAAAAACATGCCAACAAAGGACACAACAATAACAAGATCATCACAGACTTTATTTAAAACAAGCATATGACGATAAAGAGATATTACTGTATATAACAATACATGATATAGATGGGCTATAGGTCACCAGCACAATCAAAGTTAGGCCATACTTTTGCTACCTGCATGGAGTCCTTGTAGGATTTACGCTACCCCTCTGGCTACTGGCGATTATTAGAAAGCCAAACAATTAATCATACAACGGTTTAAAGCATGGAGAGAAGCAAAATACCTTGAATGATGTGGAACATATGTACCCTCTCAGGGAGACAATATTTTACGTTTCATTTACACCCTTTGAAGATACAGTCACTAACCATCTAAGTTATTTTGTTCATTCCACCCAATTAAAACATCACTTACTTTCTACTATACACATTTTATAAAAAGAAGTATCAATTAAAAAAAAATGAAATAAAATTAATACAATGAGAACTGATTGTAAAAAGAATCTGTATGCATGAAACCTTGAAATAGTTATCCCTTGTGATGGAAAAGTACAGTCAAGCAGGACATGAATCTGTCCAGTTCTCTCACCATCAGATGAAGAAACAGCATTTGTTCCTTTTGGATTTTTTATAGCGAGAACCTATGTATTTTTGGTTACACATGTTGAAAGAAAGGAGATTTGAGGATTAACAAGGAGCGAAGTTATAGATGAAATCGACTGCAAAAAGCGAGGCTACAAGGGCGTTATATTCCGGCAAAACAGACCCTGTATCTATTTCTGACAATCAGAATGAAAGTGAGGCTGGCTCGGCCCATGTCAGGTACCTGAAGACAAATAGAACCCGGAGGTTAAACATGCCAGATTGGTCACCGCCCTTAGCATACGACTCTAGGCAAAGTTGTAATACAAAGTGTTGCTGGTTATTTTCATGAATCAAATAGGTTTGTATGGACAAATTCGAAAAGACAAGCTTTCCATGCTTAGGGCGTGGCGTGACTAGCCCATTGATATAATCGGGCCCATTCTGCAACCTGTCTAGGTGAAGTCCCTAAATGGATTGTTACCAAGATGAAATGGAACAATTACTGAAACATTTTTTCAGAATGTGTTTCTGTCCATAATACTTTTGAGTTGATTTCCGTTATCGGGTGGTCAGGCTCGCTGACTTGGTTGATGCATGTCATCGATCCCAATTGCGTTGATCGATGCTCATGATATTAATCACTTGATTGTCTGGTCCAGACTCGATTATTTACAGACCGCCGTCATATAGCTGGAATATTGCTGAGTGCGGCGTTAAACAACAAACCAACCAACCCTTAGCTGTTCCCTGCCATTAGGTGACTGTTCATATACTTATAGAGAGGATTGTTTCACCTTTCAGATTACTCCTTTAGGGATAACTAAGAAACTAATAGTTAGGATGCATATTGGAACAGTAACACATTAACATACACAATATTCAAAGTTCATTTTAAAGGTAATTTAATTTATGAACTACGAAACATTATAAACTTGATTACAAATTTATAATAATTGACACATCATTACATTAATTTTCATCAACCTATCAATATAGGTTGTAATACCATACACAATTTAGCCCACTATATAACAGTTTAACAAGAATTGAACAAATCTGACTACATATTGATATTCATGATTAATTACTATATCACTACTAATTTAAAAATGACTCATTGGATATATTAAAACTGTATTTGTAATACACGCTCGGAGGAAGTGTAGAATTGTGGAGCGATTGTACACTAGGAGATAAACCTAGATCACATGCTCGACCACATGCATAGGTTAAAACATTCATTAATTATTTCATTTCATAGTCACTTTTTCATTCATCTCGTGAAGACTGACAGTGAAAGAGTGGCATGTTTGATAGCCCATGAAACATCATACCTACTTGTGGCCCTGTGGCGGTAAACACAAACAGTGATCGATCTGTCCGGCTTTCAGTCATTGTTTTATTCAAATCTGATAGTTACATGTAATGTTGTTCACATATTATCTGTTTACACTTGCCAGTTATCTATGCGCCAGTGATACGGCCAGCTCGACACAGAAAGACACTGTAACTAAATTCACGTTGTATGTACAATTTGTACTTCCGGTTTGATGCTGTAACAGCGCGCCAAGTGATTATAAATAGACGGCGGACCTCATTAGTTCCTGTTTACCTAATCTTTTCGCCATCACTTAAGTAATATCATGCAATGACGCAATTGTTGAATACAAACAAAATGGTCCCATTTCATGTTCATGCGTTAAATGAAATGACCAAGGAACATTTTCAATGGACCATTTAGATTATCTTATATGTAAAAGTCGCGTTCTTCAAAGTTATGCATGATAATAATTGCGTAAACAAAAAACACGAAACAGTGTCTTACCACATCCACATCCTGATAACTACATCCTGTAATTAGATGAAATATGTGTTTATGTATAGTTATTCTCGAAATAGGTTTGGACAAGAAGACGACGAACACCTACTGTATTTGCATAGTGGACCCATATAGCCCCCGCGACAACCATCTGGACATTGAGTCTTGCACAGCTCCAATTCTTTACACCCACACTTTCTACCTGCATTAAATGACAAACATAAAAGGTGAACTTTTAGTGAGTGAGTAAGTATGGTTTTACGCCGCTTTTAGCAATATTCCAGCAATATCACGGCGGGGGACACCAGAAATGGGCTTCACACATTGTACCCATGTCGGGAATCGAACCCGGGTCTTCGGCGTGACGAGCGAACGCTTTAACCACGAGGCTACCCGACCGCCCCCCCGAACATGAGAACAAACACCTTTCTCATAACAATCTGGCTGGTGCCACAAGATCTGCTTGGCTAATGCAGAAAGTTTCGTGACTACGGAATAAAGGAACCATGTGAAACCACTTTTAGATCTCAAGAATCGGATAGCTGCATCATGAGATAAACATGCAATGGCATAAATGGCGCCCATCTAGGATTTTTAAGTGGCCAACGCGTTTTCCAATGAGAATACACATACCAAGTGTGTTGCTTGTATCATCCTTTGTAACGGTTGTTCAATAGTCTGCCTAGCTAACAACCACTAATTCTCACTGCCTCTCTACCTCGATTTTGTCATCCCGTCAAATATGGTTTAAGAGAGACAAAGTTGATTTGAGATAGATATTTTATAATAGCATAAAGGGCCAATACTATACATAGACGCAAGATAAAATCACAAAGCAAACTCACTATTCACTGGTAAACAGACATTTTGATATATACGTGATTCTGTGTATCACGTTTTGACTCTTTAGTCGATTATTTACGGTTTCATCTTGCACTTCTCAGGGACGCAAATAGAACATATACAATCACGTTGTGTTAGAAAATGATGTTTTATGATAATGTTATAAATGGCATGTGTTACCTGCTGCATATCGAATCCTCAATGTGTTCACTCTGTCTGCAGATGTGATGTCTCTTGCATATATATCTCTGTGGTAGGTGAAACAATTCGTCATATTTCCATCCACAAGTCTTCGGTAAAATGGATCTAGGATGTGCCCCAAAAGTAAGTTTTCTGAAAGCAAGAGGTACAAACAAATAACAACGGCAGCACCTTTGAAGTAGAACTATGTATCCATGTGAACACTTTTATTTTCTATATTATGTGTCCCCTCTTCATGGTTAACTTCATAGTATGTAAATATTTCACCCTGGCACACATAACGAGGAGGCAAATCGTCAGCCACTCCTACATGCAGATTCTATCACAAATCTGACATGCTCACTGAAGGTCAATTGCCACTGCATGTTAATACCTGAATATAAGTCCTATAAAAGCATTCTTAAAAAATAGAAAAGCATAGGCTAACTTTTAACTTTTTACTGAGTACAATTAAACGTGCATATTTCTTTTAATTCTTCTCCATTATTCCTTCAACGCTTTGGCCAGTTGTCCAAGTGTCTGTCGCGTATGTTGTCGTTGACGTACACGTCTGTCGAGTTAATCCCACAGATGCTCTATCGGGTCAAGATCAGGATATCTGGAAGGCCGTGGCAAGAAATTGAGGCTTGAATTATGAAGGAAGTCAACAGTGACACGAGCTGTGTACGGTGCAGCGTTGTCATGTTGAAACAACTCCCTATGTTGTTGATAATCGGAAGTAGGTGACATTGAAGATGTAGCGATTTGCTGTCACAGTCCCTTGAACCACGACCAACAATCTCCGTGTGAAGGATATGGCTCCCCATAGCATCACATGTCCGACACCGAAGCTGTGGACCTGTCGAACGCAGTTCGGTGCAAAACGTTTATTTCGACACTGGAGAGGAAATCGTGATTCATCACTGAACCAGACTCGCCGCCAGTTTCACAAGAGTCCTGTACGGTTTTGGTCCATCGCATACGTTGCCGTCGATGCAATCATTTCAATACAGGGACACATACCGGACTTCTGGGTTTAATTCTCACCTCTCGCAGATGATTCATGTTTGTTTGGGCCCATATCCTCCTCAAACCAGGCATATGTCCTACAGTCCCGGTGGCAGTAGCATGTCGATGACGTAGATGAAAGACTCGAATGTAGAGATCTTGTGCAGGGGCGGTGACACTTGGTCTAAAACTGCTCGAATGATTTGATTTGATTTGGGGCGGGTATACCAATCCAATAAATAAGATGTGGTGTTCTGGTGTCCATCTGAGCTTATACCCTGATTTGTTATAAAATGACTGATAGTTGGGGTGTAAGTAATCAAGAATTATTACCCATACAAAATGTTGCAAAGGAATATTTACCAAACAGAAAATGTTTCAGAGAAACATCACCCCAAAATTCACTAAGTCGGACATATTTCATGAAAAACGGAAAAGAAAAAAAAATGACAAATGCCCTGATTGGCAAAAGACACCAATTCATCCCCAGGTCTGTACACATTTAAAGTCCAACTTGTTTCCATGGAAACCAGAAACATTAAAATTGTTTAAAAATCGTCAAACGTGACGGACGAACGGAATGACCGAAGGACGGATGACGGACGGACGGCTCCCATTCCTATATCCCCCTTTCACTTCCTGGCGGGGTTTACAATGCAGCTTCAATATACATTCACGAAGACAACTCACACAGGTGATTTTGTAATGTGAACAGCATGCAATGATTTATTAGCTATTAGGTGCTCTGATAGCTATTAGGTACTCTGACACTTTTAGTTAATTATAAATAACGCTCTGCCACGACTTGCTGAAAATCCACGTCTACGCGAAGTAGGTATGCAAACTGGAATGGCACAACAAATCTACAGCATGGCAACATTGAGGATGACGTCACGTTAACAAGACAATCATATGGTTGTGGAGCTTCGGAATCAATACCAAACTCCCTCATAAACAGCTCGGACAATTCCTGGGTTGACCAATCAGTGGTAGAGCCGTACGTAACCGGTTGAGGTATCACAGGATCCGGAACAGAACCGGCTTGTAACGCTCGCTCTGGAGATTTGGCTGGCAAGAGTAATGTTGCGACACCTTGCTGCCTCAGACAGTCGACTGCAGCACTAGCTCTGAGGACGTGAGTTGTCATCCTGGATCTCAGACTTCTGACCAACGCGCTTGTCAAATGGTATGACCACTGTACATAAAACGTGGTCCACATAACGTTAATGATCAAGTTCCCTTGCACGATCTTCCAATCCGTCCTGTTGTCATATAGGATGCCAGCTCAGACCATGCTGCCACCACTGTACATAAAGTACTCTTCGATAGTTCCTCTCTCAACGCTGTCTCCAAACACGTCCTCTACCATTTGTAACGCGTAAACCGAACATCAATTCATCGAAAAATTTGGCTGGTCTTTTTAAGTCCACCGTTGACGACCTCCAAACTGCACACATTGTTGTCTGAGGCGCCTGTGTACCACAGTCATGCTCATTCCTCTGGAAGGACGTCTTGAATTCAGACCCGCAGTTTTCAACCTGTTTCGTATCGCTGACGTCAAAAGTTGGCTTCCCGTGGCAGCCTCAAAGTTGTCCCTCATTACTGGTGCAGAAATGAATCTTTTCCTTTACACATTGGTGAATCCATATTGATCCTGCCACGTAGCATCCTTCCATGTTGTCTTCCATCTTCCCCAACCGTTTGCCGATATTGTTCCATCAGTCGGGATATCACACTTTTACACATTTACCTAAGTGTCTGACAAAAGCATTCTGTGATTAGCCATCTTCAGTCATGCCTATTACGCGCAATCTTTCATTTTCTGTAATGTACACTTTTGGAGGCATATTGGTTGTGACGTTAACCGGCACATGTAATTAAAACATGACGTATCACCGTGGACGACAAGCTCTACATGTAAAATGTGCAAAGTTTGATTGAGTTTGCTATGCCCGCTTAGTGACTGGTGCAACAAAGCTGGCCATTTCATTTTATATCTGGAACGACAGGGGTTCCCTTAAATATTGTTCCTCGTTTATTAACTTGCCTCCAAATCGGACTAATTGCAATTTTGCCAAGCACCTAAACGATGTCAATAAATACTGAGCCGCAAAAGAAACGTCACTTCATGAAAATACTTTTCCCACTGGAAAAACAATGCATTTTTGGAGACACTCTTTTTTTAAATTGGTCTGTATCCAAATTTAGTGTTAACGAACCAAAAGTGCCAAAAATGTACATATATTGGTCGCCAAAACGTCAAAATCAAAATGCACTTGCGTTTCCTTGTGCCCTTTCTGATAAAAGGGACGCCAATACGTGGATCCAACATTCTTGTATCGATACTAGCGCCATGCCAAGACTTACGAAGAATCAGAGAAACCAGGGTTTAGGACGACTGCATGCTGGCCAGACGGCACGAATGGTTGTCAATGCTTTTAATGTCCACGTGAGAATCATCTACAGATTACAGCAACGATACCAGGTCACCAACAGCTTATCAGAAAAGGCGTTATTTTAAGTAAAAACAACATACAAGTGTTGATCAGTCTAATATTCATTCATCTAAATATATCTGATAACTTTCAAAATGATTTCTAAACGTTTTGCTATTTCTTACATTATGCGTTCGTGTTGGCCAAAAAAATCCTTATCATCCCTTGTCCAATGTAAACTGACTCTCTAAATTGTGGTTGATCTGGTTATGTAAAATTATTCTTACCATACTGACATCGACTTCCCGTGAATCCAGCCTCACATCCCGACTCACACGTTGTTTGGTGAAGGTTGCACTGGCTTTTTACACTGCAGTGGCATTCACCTGTAATGTGAACGTAACCAGAAGTATGAAATAGAACAATACCACGGTGGGTTCATTTGAATCAGCCCAAGGTCTGTTCACACCCGAAGACATAGTGATCTGCATGCTAAAGGAACACACTTAAGGTGTCTACCACACCGTTGACCACCAACAACAAACAAATAACAAAACATAAAAAAACACTTATAAAACTAAAACAACCAACAATAACAACAGCAAAACGAAACATCGTCATGTGCGAAGTGTATGTTTACTGCCACTGAGCTATGTGGTGCAGATATGTTGGTAATACATAATATACACCTATTTTAACCTTATCTTACTCGCACATGCTCGTTTTTACTTAACTTGTTCTTAACTATTGACATATACAAATGTTCACTCTCGGTGTTCGAGCGACGCTATATGGGAACCTAATTTAGTCATAAATAAGTTATGATTAAACACACAAGTGCTGGTATCTCAAAGATATGTAAAACTTCGGTTGGTGGGCACAATATCATATAATCAATTACTCTTAAAGTAAGCCCATAGAGCCAGGGCGTTCTCCTACGCAGGCACGCGTGGATGCAATTTTGCACATAAAGCGAACTAGATAGCTACGTGTTACATGTATAAGCATAAATTGCAAATACGTACACCAGGGCTTGCTTTCCGACGTAGACCTCTCATATACCGACTTGAGTATATAAAAGCGACAAGATCGTTCCATGATCATAAGAAATGTCTCCTAAAATCAGAATCCATTGTTCGGTTCCGACTTCATTAGTAGCATGTATTTATGATTCACTATCAAATAGTGATAATGCTAATATCAGGTGTTTACGAAAATGTGAAAGTAACCTGCCCCAACGCATGGCACTCGTCACAAACACATGCAAAGGCAAATCAGTTGTTCACCTAAAAGGCCAAGGACCACATTTTACTTAAGGATGCGTAGAATTAGATACAGTATTTACACACATGTGCTGATATGATCATCCTTTACTCTTCTTAACAACCGAGTACTGTTCCATACGATTGTATATTTGTCTACCGCTGCACTCAGCAATATTCCAGTCATTTGACGGCGGCATGTAAATAATCGAACTTTGACCTGAACCAGAGTGACCAGTGAGTCCCGCGCCGACGGGGTAAGATGGTAGCAAGTCATCGTGCCTGACCACCCGATCCACTTAGTGGCCTCTTTCGACAAACAGGTTGATGGAGACATTATATTTTACAACACGGAATACCCATGGGTCCCCCCGACGAATCAACAGTGACATGACCGTTCTGACGTTACTGGTAGCCAATGCTCTTTCAATTAAGGATTGGCTTTCACTTGTGTACGTTCATTGGAGTATGAACCTTCATAGAGTGAGGGCCAAACTGTATGAATGTCGGAGCTTGCGATGACGTCCATACAACGTCCCTCACTGTATGAAGGTTCATACTCCAATGAACTCACGCACAGAGAAAGTAATTTTTTATACTTTTTGGTATCACTACTTTTTACCCCAAAGGATCTATTACGCAATATTCAATTCCTGTGACTTCATGTTTACACTGACAGCAATACAACAACCAGCTGTATCGCGGAATATACAGTTCCTCAAAACGAGAGGTGACATGAACGTATGTATGCTCAACATGCTCTACAGGAACAACGTTTGTAGTTTCTTTACAACAAATTTATTCAAATAATATCATCATAAGTTGAGGAATGGCTGATAAGAACTACCTCAGTAAGTCAGTCACAATGACAGCGCGTCGTAATACATTACTTCAAGACGTCAAAATGGCCGACACAATAAACGTCGGGAGATATTTCGGAAGTTGTTAATGAACCTGCGGCGGTTACATGTTTTAGTCATCATTGATCAACTGGTCGATCATTGAAGGGTGATTTAAGATGTTTATTAGACACTAAGGTAAATTCATAGATTGCTGTAGACTGTCTATGTCAGCCTAGACACGGATCGAGTCGATACTTCGATACTGTGGATGTGCATTTCTTCGATTTGTTCACTAAGGTTCGGTCGTAGCGAAGATATTCGTAAACGATCATACAGTCAAACTCTGTGACGTTGCTCAATGTATACTGAAACGCTGAGTTTAAGATTAAAGGTTCTAAATGATGAGAAAGAACGCTTCTGTATGTATTCGTGCAAGGGAATTCCCAGGGGTTTCCCTAGGAATGTGGAAGTAATCCGTGAGTGTTTACGTCATTTCAAGAACACACACACACACACACACACACACACACACACACACACACACACAAACACACACACACACATATATATATATATATATATATATATATTCATTTGCACCAGTCATGTAGTCTCACATACACTTCCTGAAGGTCATTCCTGTAGCGCACACACGTCACCATAACCTGCTGGAGGACATGGAGATCGGTTTGTCCAGCTCTACTGATCCAACTCCAAATGATGACTGAGCCTTCTAAATAACGCTGTGTTTGGCTACGTTGGAATCCTGATTTTTTCTGTGACAATCTGTGAAGTCTGGACAGCATCTCGATCCATCAGTGAAAAGTACTTGAGCCCAGTTCGGCTCTGTCCAATTGATCTTTAGCTCAATCAAAACGTGCCAAAGGTTTTCAAGCACATCGTGCACATCGTAAACTTCGTGTCCATGAATGCATGCCTCTGTCCGTTCATCGTGAAATTAAGGTCCTATATCGGTTACTCAATCATTCTGAACCGGGATATTTCATCTTTATTTGTTGGATGATCATCAAACCTTGATCCTTTGCAAACTGTGAGACAATATTGCTGTCATCTAATCAAAATGTATAATTTCTGCGCACCATAAACAATACAATTGCCATGAATCTTTTCAGAATGATGCATGATAATCACATATACAAACACTTTGTCATGCCTACTCATCGTGATCCCTGTAACAAAGTGTCGGAAGGTTTGACTTCATATTCTATTAGTTTGATGGCCTGTTGTACAGCATAATTGTGGTGTCAGTTTTTTTCAAATGGTCAATGCTCGTGATAGGGGTCTGTGTCGGAATCAAGGTTGTAATATTGCACCCGAGTCCACAGAATGTTTATAATGTATCTTATTGGTACTATTATATTCGTTGGGACCACCTATGACCTTTTAGCAATATTTAAATCCACGATGGTTGCCAAGATGGAATCTAAGATGACCACCAGCTTATGTTTACTTTCTATGCTGTAACAAATCTTCAACTCCAAAAATACAAATATCTTTTCCCCACTTCCCCATTCTTAATATCAATCAACGATCAAAGACAAAGCATTTGCTATGCTTCTACAACACTATTCATTTCTACACGTTGAGTATCAAACTTGAGCAATCAAGTTTATCCAATCATGTATCCTTGGCATTTTCACAAGCTTCGTCCCCCATGCAAACTTGCTTCTCCTGCACTGACACAGGTCACTCCTCTTGCATGCTGATTTCTTACATTTGCATAATGTGAGTACATCAACTGCAAATGGAGCTGGTTCTGTTGACAACAGTTAGTGAGTAAGTTGGGTTTAATGCTACGCAGAATAGCACAATTCTATAACGGCATGTCAGTTTGATGTGGGAGGAAAGCCTGAATTAATGCAGGTCCCAAATTTTTTCCACTTTGTGAAACCTGCTAGCACGGGATATCGTGCATATAAGTAGGCTGACATGAGAACTGGGACGGGAGGTTCTGAAGAACTAGTGCTTAGTCCTTCCTATAATACTTTCTTTGTCACTTTTGACAGAGGTGTCTGTATCACGTCATGTGTCTCAAGGCTTGATTTAGGTCATAATTGGCAAAAGCTACGTTACACAGGACATACAAGATCTATTGGTTGCTTCTCATGCTCCGCTAGTTCTGCCATGGCATATTTGTAAGTTTCGGAAGACTTATGTTGAGCAATTCAAGGAACTTTTTATTGCCGATTTCCCGGACAGCGTTGGTGATATCACAGCCTGTGAGTTCATGAAATCCTTCAAGGCAGGATGCAGCGTTGGTCCTGGACTGTCTACAACCTTTCGTAAACAGAGCTCTTCCTGCTTACTTACGAATAAGCCCAATGGAATCTCTGGCGTTGACGTTTCAATTGACTTGAATTGGGTCAATGTTTCTGTTTTTGACTAAAGTCCTCGCATATGCTGAGAAGCATTTATCATTTATGCTGAGTCAACCACAATAGAAATGTTTGGGTCGAAACATTAAATCTCCCCAATGAGCTGCAAAACAAGTGATCATAGGTTTCCGGAGGTTCGAGTTGGTCGTCCCATGGAGGACTGTTGGAGACCACCTAATTAAGTGTTTTGTCAGCCATCATTGTATGTAAACCAGGTCGAGTTTCTACCTCAATGCAGTATAGACCCGTATACTGACTTGACAAACTGACAGCCCTTGTACGTGAGTATATAACAAGGCTTGTGAACCCGAGATATCGTTTTGTAAACGTTTTTCTTTACTTGTATGCAGCAGAATCTCTGACGTGAACACACTAAAGATTATTAAAAATTAATATATCGATTTAAGTTTCAACAAAATCAGTAAATGCGTTTTCGTGTCACTGGATTATATGATCCATCATCACTTGATTGTCTGGTTTGTTTGACCCGTGAAGATCCAGGGTAGAATAGGTCTTAAGCCACCCATGCTTGCCGTAAAAATGGACTATGCTTGTCGTAAGAGGCAACTAATGGGATCGGGTGATCAGGCTCGCTGACTTGGTTGATGCATGTCATCGTATCCCAATTACGTGGATTGGTGCTCATGATATCAATCACTGGATTGTCTGCTCCAGAATCGATTATTTACAGATCGCCGTCATATAGCTGGAATATTGCTGAGTGCGGCGTTAAACAATCAAACAATCAGTCAAATCTGGTTTGTTTACAGGCCGCAGTTGCATTCCAGAAGATCTGCATTGTGGACCAAAGTCAGGCAACACATTCAACAAACGCTTTTTATGCTAACTGTTGCGGGAGGTATCGGTTTGGCAGGACATGCTTTAC